TGACCAAAAGATAAACATCTACCTACACAACAATCCAAAGGGCTCAATGTCTAAATCAAATCTGCTAAGACAGAGTAGTAACCCAATCAGGTGACAAAAACTAGGATTTAGGTTCTTGTCACCTGACAATTGTGTTGTGAGAAACTCAGTTTAGCAATTTGAAGTGAATCTCTTTTGTGCTGTGTTGTTGGTTAAAAAAAATAAACAAAAAAGACATTCCTATGACTCTTGATACATACATAAAAAAATCCATACATTCAGTTGAAAATAAAAATCATCCTTGATAATGGCTAAAAGAATAGCCAAAGTGCTCAGATATGCAGAACATTTGGCCAATTTTTACACACTTTGTCTAGAAAAGAAATCACTTATATGAACACAAGAAAAATTGAACAAAAATGTAATTGCATTACCTTATTAGTTGTCTTTAATAAAACTTGTATAAAAGAGGGATTGCTGCCCAAATATACATTTTTATATATATATATATATATGTAAGCAAATATATGGATATAAATCCGACAGTATGAAAAGAAAAATGCAGAAAAAAAAAAATTAACTGAAATTAACATTATTAATGTTAAAAAGAACGCTGATCTGTATAAAATTTTTGTTATCTGTTTGAATTACCATCTTTATGTCCATTATCATTTTTGTTAAATTGTTATAATTATAATGTTAATTATGTTTAAATGAAAATGTCCATGAACATGGTCTTTAATAGACCGAAAAATCGTCCAATGTCGACATTTTATTTTAACATTAATAATGCAAATTCAGAATTTTGTTTTTTTACTGTATTTTTCTTTCATATATATATATATATATATATATATATAAAAATGTATATTTGGGCAGCAATCCCTCTTATATATATATATATATATATATATATATATATATATAATGTTGTGTATTTAGGCAGCAATCCATCATGTATACATGTTTCATTAAAGACAGCAGACAAGGTACTGCGATTAAGCTTTTTATTTAATTTTTCTTGTGTTAAAACAAGTGTTTTCTTTTATGAACACAGAATGTGTAGAAACTGTCCCAATGTTTTGTAATTCTGAGTGATTTGGACAGTTTCTACACTCTCTGTGTCCGGAAAAGAAAACATGTTTTCAAACACAAGAAAAATTAAATAAAAAGCTTAATCGCAGGTATACACACACACACACACACACACACACACACACACACACACACACACATATATATATATATTATTTTTCCTACTGTATTGAGCACTCTTTTAAGAATAGTATTTTTTGGTTATTGGAATTTATTCTGTATACACCAATCCTATACTTGGATATATATCATATATATATGTATATGTTTTGAACAATAAAAATATTGAGAAATTAAAATTTTCAGACACACTGGGTTGTATATTAATATTGTTTTATTATTTCAATTAGATTCCTCGACTAGTTTTGGCCAGCATGGCCATCATCAGGAGAAAAATAATTTTCTGCTTGTTGGTAGCAGTGTACTACAGGAATGAATGACTTTCTGAAGAAAATGAACTTTATCTGTAGTTTTCCTTTGTTTTTTATCATTAATTTTACTCAGCCCTTGTGTTGATCAAACAGCTTCTTTTAAGATTTTTTTTTAAGATAGAGGCTGTATAGATTCATGCTACTATGAATTGAATTCCCTTGGTCATTATATTACACACACACACACACACACACACATATATATATATATTTGTGTACATGAAAATATTAGGACATTTTCCATATAATGCCTTAATGTTTGTATGTCTACTAATATCTGATCTTAACAATATCTCATACATTAAAATAATGATCAAAGGAAATGCAGTAAGTTGGATTAAAATAATCCTAAGAAGTAAGATAACTTTTCAAATGAATTGGAAAATGTTTTATCCGATTCAATCCCGATTTGAAATTTCGTCACTGAGAAAGATAAAGATGAGTAATAGAGAGATAATTTTCTGTTTGTATTGTTCTTACCCCCAAGAGGCATTGGTGAGTGCAGGAAGAAAGCCAACAGCAAAAATGACAAATTGCAGGAAGCATTTTTTTTTCATACTTGTCTCTTTTATTTAATATAAAATCATAATTTACATTTTGAATTTTCTTTTGATGTCAGAATCTGTCTTTTCTTGGTTCTGTAGAATAATAGTCATTTAATATTGAATATTATTTAAGAGGCATTTTTAGTTCACCTCTTTACCGCCTACACAGCAAGGTAACATTATATCTGGCTCTCTCCTTAACTATGCTGTCCACCCACATAAAATGTAAAATCCTCTTTCAATTTCTTACTCCTTTTACTCCAACAAACCAGGCTAGATTTTTTTTTATCTTTTGCAATCTGTTTTTTTCCAATGTTCGCCATTTTAGGTTTTTATCTACTTGATGAACACTTTTTACTGCACAAAGTAAATGATCTACATCAGACAAAATGTCCGCATTCAGCGTGAACTGTTTTCGTGGTTAGATTTTTCCTACCTTTCACACTTGAAAGACTTTTTAAGTAACACACTCAGATAGAATAATCAATTTCAATAAAATAAACAAAATGTTATTATATCAAAAATTTGATTTCATAAATGTATCAGGTTTTATTTTATTTTCTTTGTTATTTGACTTCACTATTACATGAGTCACTTGTTTTGCCAAACAATTCACCTTGACATTTCTCTTTTGCTTGAAGACATGATTTTATTTTAACTCCTGATTCTATCTTTTTCTTTTGATTTAATTAAGTATAATTATTTTATAGCAACCTGTGTTCTCCTGGTATTTGATGAGCATCAATTCATACATATTTTTTAAACAGAAGTGCCATTTCTGCTTCAAACCCAATCCTTCTTTTTAATATTACTTAATATCTTTTAAATGGTTTAGCTTGACCTTTGTGTCAAGGACCAGAATAAAAAGTTTCAAACTTTTTAATACATTATTTGTTTTAGTCTAATATATTTTTATGCTTTCAATTTTTTTTTTTTTTAATTTATTATTCAAGTTTGGGTTGCTGCAGAGGTTAAAGCACCGATTATATTTTGACTGAGAAACCTAAGTTCTGTCTACATATTACTTTATAGTCTTAATATATACCAAATTGAAAGATTTAGTTAGACCAATTTTTATTATTGAATTTATTAACCCCCTTGATTTTTACTTGAATAATTGTTTTATGGAGTGAGTAAGCAACGAGAAATTCTTAAAGAAAATGGCAACAGAAAGAACACTTATGCTCAGAATCAGGAAAAGATAGCTGAAATTCCTTGGCACATGAGGAAGGGGGTCTTGAAAAACATAACGTTCAGTGAGCACATTGAGGGTAAGAGAGATAGGGTAAACTACAAGATACTTACCTAGCAAGTTTGTGTGAATGGATGATAGAATGGGGTCAGGAAACTTAGTAAAGAGAGAAAAACTAGAAAGCACCACAAGGAATAGGAAGTGGTGGAGAGCCTTTATAGGCTATATCCTGAAGGGTAGTGGCACATAGAAGAAGAATTGTTCTGTTATGACATCTTTTCATTTTACATATATATATATATATCCAAGTATAGGATTGGTGTAAGCAGAATGAATTCCAATAACCAAAAAATGCTATTCTTAAAAGAGTGCTCAATACAGAGTAGAGCAAATATAATTTATTTGAGAGTTATAACATAAATATGCTATATAATTACTACCAAAATAGCCATTTTGTTTCAATGCTTCTGGTGTCTTATCAAGTGATGGTGTTGAATGTAGAACAACACCATCTTGATAAGATACCAAAAGTATTGAAACAAAATGGTTATGTATCTAGTGATTTTTATAACATATTTATGTTATAATTTTCAAATAAATTATATATATATATATATATATATATTATAAATTAATTGAAAGCAGAAAACCATATTTTAAATCAATTAATTTATAATATTAATGCTCTATAAATTCACATTGAGCACTATTTTGTAAAAATAAAATATCTATAAGAACACGGATTATATATCTTACTGTTCTTTCTTTTTATATAAATAAATAAATAATATATATATATATATATATATATATATATATATATATAATAAAATCCGTTGATAATTGGTAGGGATAATTCCAAGGAGGACATGAATCCAAAGAGAACTCAATGTAAGAAACAAAGCAATATAATAATAATAATAATAATAAGTACAGACAATCCTTAAAAATCCATTTAGTTATAATTTATTTCATGAATATATACAAATATAAAAAAGAACTTCAGTCTGAAGAGATGAATATTTATATATATTCATGGAAAAAGTTATAACTGAATGGATTTTTAAGGATCACCTGTACTTATATATAATACCTCCTGATGAGTGGACCAAACAATTACTCAATGGTTCATCTATGAAACTCTGAAGTAGAGATGCTGAATATAACCTTTTTTATTTGTATTAATCAGAGATATATAGTTCTTTCGTATTTTTGAGCAGAAAGGAATATTTTCAATTTTAAACAAACTACAGTAAATTATTTGTAGCAGTTTTTAATATTTCCAGGAATTTTCAGCAGGCTTTTGAAGACTACAAAAATATTTGAACTTTTCAATCTAAGCACTATCTACCATTTTCTTTTTTTAACTTTGTTCCAACATAAATTGGTTTCAACAAAATGAAATTTCTGACAACTTAATTTCTGAGAATTTCTCTGTTGAATCTGTGAAAGCTTCTAATTTCCTGTAAATTTATTCTTTATCACAATAACAATAAAATTTAATCTATTTTTTTTTCAAATGTTTGTTGCAATAATGATCATTTTGGTATCATTTTTTTCTATATTTGTTGCTACAAGACCATGTTGGTTGTTCGCTTATAAAATGGCTGGAGAAGATTGGCAGTGAATTGTTGTAATCAGAATCTTCTCCAATTGGCAGAATGCAAAGCATAAACATTAAATAAATCATTTAATATTACTTATCTATATGTTGTAATCATAAAAACTGATAAATTTGGCCAAGACTTGGCATAATGAATGTCTCTCAGGAAATGTTGCTTCTCTATATGCGTACAGGCATGTGTGGGGGATATTTTTACTGCTGTTCTTAAATGTCTATTTGCCAGCAGCTGTAGTCAGAAGCTGCCATTTCTTGTTGAACAGATCTTTGCTTTAATACTTGGTAATTATTGATTTTTTTCTTTTCATTTCTTTCTTTCTTTCACTTTTCTTTCATTTGTCTTTTCTCTGTTTCTTTCTTTCTTTACTCCTCCTTTCACTTCTCTTTTCTCAGTTTCTTTATTTATCTTTTTCTCCTTCTTTCACCTTTCTTTTCTCAATTTTTTTCTTTCTTCTTCTTTCTTCTTCTTTATTCCTTCACTTCTTTCATTTATCTTTTTTGGTGTCTTTCTTTATTTCTTTCTCTTTCTTTCTTTTTCTGTCTTTATTTCTTTCTCCTTCCTGCATTCCTTCTTTCAGTTTATTTTTTCAGTTTCTTTCTTTTCTTCCTTTTCTTCCCTTTCTTTTTCTTCTTTCATTTTCTTTCTCCTTCTTTCATTCCTTCTTTTCTTTCTTCCTTTCTTCACTTCTTTCTTTCTTCCTTCCTTCAATCCCCCCTTTCTTTTCTTCCTTCCTTCCCCCCTTTCCCCCTTTTCTTTTTTCTTCCTTCCTTTCTTTCTTCCTTCCTTCACTCCCCCTTTCTTTCTTCCTTCCTTCACTCCCCCTTTCTTTCTTCCTTTCTTTCCCCTTTCCTTCCCTTCCCCCCCTTTCTTTTTCTTCCTTCCTTCCTTTCTTTTTTTATTTTCTTTCTTTCTTTTTCTGTCTTCCTTTCTTTCTCCCCTTTCCTTTTTCAGTTCCTTTTTCCTTTCCTTTTCCCCTTTCTTTCTTCCTTCCTTCACTCCCCTTCCTTTCTTTTTTCTCTTCTTCCTTCCTTCCTTCCCCTTCTTTTCTTCTTCCTTCCTTCCTCCCCTTTCTTTCTTCCCTTCACTTTCTTTTTCCTTCCTTCTTCCTTTCTTTTCTTTTCTTCCTTTATTTCTTTCTTTTTTCTTTTTCTTCTTTTATTTCTTCTTTCTTCCTTTCTTTTCTCTTTCTTTTCTTTCTTCCTTTCTTTTCTTTTCTTTTCTTTTTCTTTCTTTCTTCCTCTTTTCTTTCTTCCTTTCTTTCTTTTCTTTTTCTTTCTTTTCTTTTTTTTCTTTCTTTCTTTCTTTTCTTTCTTTTCTTTCTTTCTTTCTTTTCTTTCTTCCTTTCTTTCTTTCTTTTCTTTCTTTCTTTCTTTCTTTCTTCCACATCTATTTTTGACATACTCCATCAATGTACAGCCTCATCATTTACTATTTCTGCGCAATGGATCAGCTTCACTGACCCCCCCCACACACACACACACCTCAGCCAACTGGATTTACTTCTTTCATGGTTCCTCTTCCTTCAACTTCCTTCCTCTTGCTTCCTTCAATTATTGTCGCACTCTTTAATCCTGCAAATTATGACAATTGTGTGAAAGTCGGTTAAACACAAGAAAAAGAAATTAAAGAAAAAAAGATCATTCATTCTTGTATCTTCAGTCTTCAAAAAAAGAAGTCGCTAGAAGTTTTTGCCTTCACCTAATAAACAAAAAGCAAATCATGTCAAGACGCCATGTCACAGAAACCTGGACTTGTCAAATTTTAGAATTAACTGCAGTGAAGCTTGAGTCATGTTAATTTAGATTTCAAGGAATTAGCTGCAATGAAAATAAATTCACTTATTTAAAATATTTATTATTTTTATAAAATTTAAAAGTTAGACTTTTTTCTGAAGAAATCTTATTCTACATAGAAATGTTTGAGCAAAAGTAGTTTTCCAATTATTCCTAAGTAAATCCGTTTGTAATGAATTCCTAAGTAGATCCATTTGTAATAAATTCATGACAATCCAACCATCAGCCTAATGCTCAAAGAATACAATATTTCCACACAATATGCAATTTGGCAAGGAATAGTGGCGAAAAGAAAAGAATTTCCCTAATGATTTATTTATTATGTCACTTTTTTAATATTTTTAAATTTTGTTTGTAAACCTAATTTAATAGTGTATATTTAATTCTGGAGTTGTGAGTCTACTTTGTCTCAAAAGTGAAAATTTAGGTTTTAGCCAGCCAATAACTGGGGTAAAAAATGCAGAGTGACTACTGGAGAATTTTTTTAATTTAATCTTATTTCTTAGTGTACTTTATATGACAGGAAATACAGTAGTAACATCAATTGTCAGTATAAAATCATAACAATCAGTTATGTATGATTTCTCCAATCTAAGTTGTTTTGTTCTTTTATATTTACACTTATGGTTAAATGGATGTTGCTTTCAAAATGACTTTGGAAATTTCATTAGTTTTGCAGTTTAACTTTACCAACAAGTCATTTTAATTTTCAATGTGCAAATGTTACCAGTTTTAGACATCTTTCAACTTGTGGCATTTTCTTTTTCATCGGTCAGCTGAGTGATTTATTTTAATACTTCAATATATACATTGCTGTTGGCCATTTTGTGCTAAAAGCATGTTTCTTCTTGACTAAAAGTAGTTTTCCTACTGTTTAAAGTTATATTATTTTGCATATATTTTTTGTTGATACAAACAAAATTAAAAATTTGATTATTTAAATATTCTTATTAGCATTTTCCAAAAGCTTGATTCAAAATTAATATTAATAAGCAATTATTTAATACCAAGTTCTTTATTATTTATGCTGTGACAACAATTGATTATGATATTTAATAAACAGTGAATATCTGTTTCATGAGGCATTAAGTTAGGAAGAAGGCTTTCAGCAAAGTGTTAATAAGCAAAGCTTTTGCTGGAAATGCAACATTAATTCATAAGAGATAAAATCAATATGAAGTATTCAATTAATTCCGTGTTGAATTCCTGCTATAAAATGAAAATGCCAGCCTTGGTGAAAGCAAGAATAATTCTCCCTTAAATAAAGATTTCTTTAAATGTGGACAAAAAGTCAAGCTTCAACTTAAACCATATCTAAACTTGAACATTTGTATAATGGCTTAGTCTGGCAAAAGGATATCATAGTGAGGCTTCTCAATAAGGATCAATCTTACCTCACTTGTGAATTGGTCTATCTCATTTGTAAACTATCATCCTTAATAGTTATTTAGTTTAACCTAGTCTGGCACAAAGACATTATAGGGGAACATGATGAAAAGTTAACTTGTGTCTGAGTATTGCTACTTGCACAACTCTATTGCTGATTTCCTTGGCATTGATGACATCTCTGTTGATTCATTAGCCCAGTGAATAAAGAATGCTATAAGCCATAAGTTTTGCCAACAAGCTTACCACTTGCTTGTTCAGGTGTTGTGACTTGTAATGCCAAGTAAGTCCACTCACAGGCCTGCACACTTTGTTGCATAGATTGCAAGTGAAATCGGGCTGGATATAACAGTGATAGATTGTGTTGTAATTTTAAATTGAATTCACAAGATAATAGCCCTCATTTATGCATGGTTTTTCATTCTTCAATTTCAGCTGCCCTAGAATTAATGTTTTCCTAAATAATAGTCTTACAATGCTAGTTCAATGATTCTGAATGACCAAAGAAAAAACTTTAAATTAAAATATAAAAGTTCCCAACTTAAGAAGGAAAAACAAAAAAATAATATATGCAGAGGTTGCTGAGATCTTCATTAAGAATAAATATTCTGTCATTTATTTTCATTGCATTATATAAGTATAATGTAATATTTTAACATTTTCATTACATTATATAATTATAATGTAATATTATAACATTTTCTGTCTATATTTCTGAGATGAGGTATTATGTACACTATTTACATTTTTATTATTAAAAAAACATGCAATGATAACAGCAAAAATTGCAACTTGAGCACTGATAAAAAATGGTGGCTGCAGATATTAAGTTTATAATACCCAGAAATTCATACACAGATGTCCTCAAGGACACATGGCACAGTGGATAAAGGCATTAGTTAGATCCAGTGACATGACCCAAAGAGTGAGTTCAATACCTGGTTAAGGTGGTGGAGAACTTGGAGAGGAGAATTAACAGAAAACTGACATCTATTAGACATGGCAAGTGGAATTAGCAAATGAAATAAAGGGTTCAGTTCAACATTCCAATCACCAGAACTTTGTGATAAATATGGCAAAAGATGAGGACAATAGTCCGAATAATGTAAATAGTGTATAACATTTTCATTATATTATATAATTATAATATAATATTATATGACATAACATTTTCATTACTTTATATTGTAATTGTTTGATTGATTTATTTTTGTCAGTTTCTTATCATATAGAATTTATCACTTAAAACATTATCAAAGGTATATGTATAGAAAAGAACCTACCATATATTGGGCATGGCACCATTCGTTCATTGTTTCAGGATATCCTTTGAAGATCTTGGACCTTTCTCTTTGCAGATAAAGGGGATTATATAAGATAAGCTCGTTAACCATTACCTTATTGTAGTTTCTCCATGTAAAGTAAATAATATAAAAGAAAAAAATCTGATCACCAGTTGAAACTTGTTTGGATGTCTTGGCCATTGATTGATTGTGTTTCTTTCTGTCTGATAAATGCCACTGTTAAGATCAATTGAATTGATGTCAAATGAAGAAAAAATTTTTTTTCATCAAATGATCTTTTTTCTGTTCAGTTTTTATTGACTGAATATGTTTATAAAAAGTGTAAATGATGATAGAAATAATGAAAAGAAGAAAAAAAAAAAACATATTATTTCAGGTTTTATAAGCATCCCAACACTCCCAAATCAGTCAGGCTGCTTCCTGTCTATTATGGGCTGGCTTTGAGTTTGATTAGTTCATCCCCTATCATTTATGGCTCTCATTTTGATAAGATTTCTTTGTTTTTTAAAGAAATCAATATTCATCACTCTTCTTTCATTTTAGTAATTATCATTTATAATTGGTTAACTTATGTTGTCTGCTTCATTTTAAAAAGGAATTTAGTATTTATTGCCAAAAAATGACAGTTAAAGTATTAAAAATTGAACAGAAAATCTTAATTTCTACCCTTTGATTTTAATTTTTAAATCATCAAAAAAATTGGGTAATACTTGAAAAAATGTTTTAAGAAAATATATTGTCAAAGTAAGGTTTAAAATAAAAAATATCAATTAAAATAGATTTTTGCAGGTAAAAAATCTGTTTGGCAAATGCAATATTTACCTGTAAAAAAATAATTAAGGCATTTATTATCTTTTGTCTTATATAAATATATATTTATCAGTCTTTAAATTTATTGCTAACTTACTTTAAAAGAGAATATAGAAATGCTTTTGATAATTGGAAATTTTTACTCGGTTCTATAAAATTATGAAAAATCTTAAATTCTTCTTCTTTTATTGTTTAATATATAATCAATAAAATCAATAAAACTGGCAAAGTGTTCTATAGGAATTTTTACTCTTTTCATGATTTCCTTTTTTTCTTTTTTTTTTTTGTTATGCAAATGTAACAATTATTTTAGGACTAAGGTAGTATTTAAATCCTTTGATTATAAGAACTAATTTTATCATAAACAATATGTTGTGAGTTTTCCTTCTTGACTAGATGTCTGCTCCTCGGCTCAAAGTCTAAGGAACTGCTTTAATCAAGAAACATCCAAATATTACTTGATTATTGATTTTATATCCTGTGGGAATTGTGATTATTATGGCATCATGATTATTCTTGCTTAATGTTGTCAAATCTAGCATGAAAAATCTTCCATTAAATAAAAAAATTCTGTATCTAAAAGGAAATAACAAATCTTTCAAATAATTTTATCTTGTAAATTGTTTTATTTAATGTTAAATATCAAATAATACTTGAAATATAAAATTCATTAATGTGTGCCTAATTCGATTTTCATTGTGAAATTAAGAGGAATAAATGAATTGTCTTTACCTGTATGAATTTTCGATATTATTGTGGAGTAATGAAAGAGAAAGACATGTAAGTGGGTGTAAAAAGTGACTGAAATTGCTTTAAATAACTTTCTGTCTTTATTACTGTATCTCTGTTTTGGCCTCCATTTTTGCCTTCTCTGAAGACATTTCTTCAATTGGCAATCCAGGTGTCAAAAAAAAAAAAAAACATTGTCTCTTGAGAGAGAATTTATAATAGCCCCATCACTCTCTTTTTGTGAGTATACATTTTTTTATTTCAGTTAAGTGATGGACAATATTTTTCAAACTCTTGATATGTTGTCATGAAAAGCATTGGATGTAAAAGTATTTACCAAAATCTAGTTAAGTTCAAATGTAATTTTTTTTATC